GTATGGAGGATTTTCTCTTGACTTGTAAAACGGCATCTCACACTCATAAAAAATTGCACTATATTCCTCTCATTGTGTTGTGGTTAATTTAGAATGCTAGAAACAGTTTCAAATATGAGGCTTCCCCACCTACCCCCTTCTACTACTGTTTCATATAGACTTGGAAATGTTGATAAAGCTAATAGAAGTTTGAATAGTAGGTTTGCTTTTTCTGTGCTTGAGAGGGGTAGGAGGACAACCTTGGTAAGGTGGCAGCTCCCATCTTCTAGCTGGGTTAAAGCTAACATTGATGGGAGTTGGAATTCCATTGGGGCTGGTGAGTTGTTTAGAGATGGATTGGGAAAATTTCTTGCTTACTTTGCGTCACCTATAAATGCTTCCTTCGCACTTGAGGCTGAAGGTTGTGGTGTCTTACTTACATTAAAGGTGATGTGGATTTTCATTTTATGAATGTTATTATTGAAACTAACTCACATTGTCATTTTGAACTCCTCACTATAGCTACTAAACCTATTTGGTATCTTATCTGCATTGTATTAACACACAACAGCTTGAGGTTCATTTTAGCTTCATTTTTAGGGATAGAAATTCCCCAACTGATTGGCTATCAAAACAAGGGGCTGTTGGAATTTCTGTTGGAATTCAACCTGCCCCTTATCTTAATACACTCATTGTGGTGTATATATTGGATGCTTCTTACAATAGAAGTTTGTTTTCTAGCTTCATAGTTTATGGGATATGCAGTTTTCTAGTTCTCTCAGCTTTCACTTGTTGTTTGTAGGTTCTACATTTTCCTATATTTGTTTCTTCCTAATGCCTTCTATATGTTGGCACTCGGTTACAATTTCTTACTATGGTTTGTAGCCTGTTTTTCTGACATTTTTTGTTGCAGTTTATTCCTCTTTCTCTTATGTGCTTGTGTTTATTCGGTGGGTCTGTCTTCTGGTTTGGATCATGAGGATGCTACTGAATATCGCTAGATACAGACGCACTGAAGGATTGGGAATACTTTTTTGGATGTTTGCATTGTTATTCACTGCATGGTTTCCACATATGTTGATTGATATGATATTGGAGGGCCATAATCTACACTTACCTTACAATGCCCTCTACACAACATGTTTTGGATATCAACTTTCAGTCTCTTTTAGCTGGCACTTGGTTATTGTTTAATGGTTTGTTGTTTGCCTTAGGAGAATTATGCTAGATTTGCTTTTCTGCCACCACCTTATTCATCAATTGATTTTGCCTCTGGAAGATTTATTGGGTGAAAATTAATTTTTATCGCGCGGCTCCTATTTTTCATGACTGCTATGGATTTGGAGGGTCACTTTCTGTACTTACAAAGCACCTTCATATGGCTATTTTGGCTTTTAGTACACTTTGGTTTTGTTTTGGGTATACTTATATGTTTTGGTTTCTTTCTTCTTTTTTTTTTTTTTTGGATGGGTTGTAATATGGGAGGTATGGGAGGAGGAACCCCTAAGTCTTTTATATACATTTTTTTGCTTTCTGTATTTGGGGATCCACCTCCCCTCCGCTTATGTAACCATTTTTGAGATCAATATATTTGTAGCCGAAAAAAACTCATTCCCTAATATATATATATATAATGAAAATGCTCCATATCTTGATATTTTCAGATGAAAAAATTGGTCTCGCCTAAAAAAATGCTGTAATAGATACACCAAAAATAAATTTTCATCATCCGACATGAATCTCGATGCAATCTTTTAAGCAAAATATATTCAAAAGTCGATAAAAATACATCTAGAACTCTGATTTCAAAAAACTTCTAGTCTAACTGACTGGGTCGAGAAGAAAAGCCCAATATTGCCAAAATTAGTCTAATTCTCAAATCAAGCTCAGATCATGTTATTGAACAACTCTTGGATGTTTTTTGTACATAATTAGAAGGTTGAACGAACGAATTGAGCATTTTAATAGGACGAATCTAATGAGCTCAAGATTTGCTCAATTCTGACTTCCCTAAGGCACTCAAATGTCCATCAAAAGTCGTATGATCGAAAGAAGTTCTCCAGACTGTCTGATCAAATTAGTTCATATTTCTGCATAAATTGCACTCAAAATACTATCAATAGAGCTCTACCCCTTTCACGAGAGGTGGGGGGGGGGGAGTGGGCTTGAGGCTTGAGAGAGAATTTAAAGCTTTGAGAGGTAGCTGAAGCCCAACATCACCCCTGTCGTCGCCGAACACCGCAGACTGTCGCGACCACCTCCGGTTGTCATCGACACCCATTGATCATCATCGATCACCACCAATGATCATTGACCACCACCGACCGGAAGCTGCTATTGTTGTTGTAACTTTGAAAACCTAATAATCCATTCCCTTATGTGGGACAAGGAGTCTATGTCATCAAAAATATATAATGGATTTTTACAGTTGGGTCACACCCCGTGGTATTTTTCCCTTTATGGTTATTCCACGTAAAAACTATTGATATCATTATTAGTTATTTTCTTTTACCTGAGTATATGTTAAATCTTGTGCAATGCTAAGACGATACTACATTAGTCTACAACCACAAAGTTTTTAGCACACATCAAGGTTGGCCACCTTATTGTCACCTCCCAAAAGAGCCCTTATGGGTGGTGGGCAGCCCAGGACTTAAATACTGCTTTTCGGCCCTACACCTAGCCAATGTGGGATTATTTGTCCGTGACAATCTCCTCCACCCAATCACGTGACGCCCTCGTCACGGATCGGCTCCACCGAGGGTCCCACTGGACCATGGAGAGTCCACACACCTGACAAGCAGTAGTCTGCTCTGATACCACTTGTCACCTCCCAAAAGAGCCCTTATGGGTGGTGGGCAGCCCAGGACTTAAATACTGCTTTTCGGCCCTACACCTAGCCAATGTGGGACTATTTGTCCGTGACATTATGCTCATATTATTTTGTTTTTTTTCCCTTGCATGCCCGAAACAATTTATAAACAAATGAGCTTCGTTAATGAATCTATTTTGATGTCCAGATTGTGAATATGACCTTAAAATTTAAAAATTATTTACTTAACTCAAGGATATGAATGTCTGATCGAACATCAAATCGAAAAAATAAGGGTTAATTTTTTTTTCATTTTTTGGACTAGGTTTTGGGTAGAAATTATGTTTCGTGCGTTTGGTTGCAGACCTCTGGCGGAACGGACGAATGCGTCGTACTTTCTTGAATTTGCGAAACTGCTCTGATACTGCAGTTTTGATTTATAAATTATTGAACATTCATGCAGTTTTGTCTGTGTATAAATCTCTAACTTTGCTCGGTATGAGATAATGAGAAATAAAAATTCTTTAGTTCGGCTAATCTAATGTTGTGTGCCCCCAAACGTAAGCTATTGATAGAGCAACATCTTTGAAGCTCGCAAGTCCTCTCAGGTCACGGGTTTGAATCCGTCTCTGGCAAGTTTCTCGGTAGTGAGAGCGGTCCTCGAATAGTTAGGCACATGAGGGTGGCTAAGAGCTCGTATAATATCCAACGACCATTCCTTATATATATACATGCTTTCACAACAAATAATTAAATCAAAATTTTGAATAAAATTATAATACATAACAATTACGTAGATCAAAATTTTATATAAGACTAAAAAGAATTATAAAAACTACAAACTTTCTTTCGAACAACATCAAGTGTATAAAAAATATTATACAACATGAAAAAAAGGGTATTTTAGAGATTTATACACAAACAACAATTCAAAAATGAATTTTTAAAATAGAACTTTTGGTTCTGAAACAACTGTTTTTACAACAGCAAATTTTCTACAACTTTTGAATTAATAATTCATATTGCCACAAATGTCCCAACACAATAAATGTTGAATAGTTCAATGGTTCAAATAACCTAATAAATATATAAATTTATTAAATATAATTTAAATAAACTAATATTGATATAGTCAATATATAATAATTCAATATAAGACGATAATTTTGAGTTTTTTCTACAATTTTAAAAATAAAAAATTTAAATTATGATAAATTTTCTATGTTTAACTTAAACATCTTATTTTTGATCATTCAATTAAAATTATAAAATTAAATTGAAATCTTATTTTAAATGATCAGTCTTTTAGAAACCGAGTCGTTTCACTAGTTCACCTCTTCAACCCCAATTAAGACCGGTTCAATCATGGCCCTCATACAAAAATGATTCTAGGCTTCGGTCGAATGGCTTGTTCGCCATTGAACTGGTTCAATCCTGATCCAATTACAGGTTTATTTACGTACATTTAAAATTAAGTTTAGATATATAAATACATATTTTTTATCCGTAGTACATGGGTAAGAACTTAAATTTTTTGTTCACATAGAAATTAAGAAAGATTTGAATGAGATGTACGCGTCTTCTATAGTTACTAAAAAATATATATTTTTTTAATATTAGTAGATGTCATTTTTTAAGCAAAATAGTCGTTTTCGAATCTCCAATTTTTTTACAAGGAAATTCTGATATTGACTTTCTTAGATAAACTAAGCCTTTGGACATCCGTAAAATGACATAATTACGTATAGTCTTGAAAGACTTGCCATATGTCATGATCAACAAGAATTATTTTACGAATATTATGCATCCATCTAATTAATGACTATTTATGTTACCCTTGTGCAAGGCCGGCCGTTGATGTAAAATTGTAATTCAATTCAAAATTATTTGAAATATAATTGAGGAAAGAAATAAATGTTAGAGACGAAATTTGTACTATATCAAATCTATAAAAATATTATGGTGAAATTAATTTCTGATATGAGAAGAAATAATATATAAAGATGAAATATATATATATTAATTATGAAAATATTTTCATGATATTATAAAATTATTAGGAGGAAATATTATTACAACACTATCGTAATTTCATTAATTTATTATTTGTACGTACACATCATTTGAGCTGTCCGTTCGCTAACCTAATCCTAACCATCTCTCAACTACCAAATACAACGCTCCCCTCATAAAACCCAACAATCCCTTCCAAAGAACATAGCTTCAGTTTGAGTTCCGAACGTGGCTCTTACCGAAGCCCTTCCTTCCCTTCGTTCTCCACATGAAGCCATTCTTCCCTTCATGGGTCTACGAACTTGCGCTTCTCGCAGCCTTGCTCTGCCAGGAAGCCACACACCGCTCTTTCGAGTGGGTCAAAAACCAGAGCATCTCCAACCTCAGAACTCCTCCGGCCATGCCTTTTAGAAGAGGCCCCTCATTGGAGGCTGAAGTCGAGCGCGAAGCAGCTCAGCCCTCTTTGCCGAAGATGAAGATGCTTGATCTGCCAGAACTAGCCATTGATTGCATTTTGGAAAAGCTTTCACCAGCCGAGCTCTGCAAAATGTCTGGTGTTTGTAGAGATTTGAGGGAAATGTGCACCAGTGATCATCTATGGAAGAGGCATGTGATGGAGAAGTGGAGCAGAGTAATAGGGGAAGCGGCGTGGAGGAAGTGGGAGCTGCAGGATAAGTTAAGGAGGAACCTTTATGTCGGAGATGAAAGTGGAGGAGTCAGTTCGATGGGGTGGATGGAGTGGCTGGGTTGTGTGTGGCCTCTTGCATGGCTTAAGCGCAGGATTGAAGGAGGAAGAAAGCTCAAGAGCATTATGACGGTTGACTCTCTCTTTTCATTCTATCTGGCGCTTGAGAGTGGCAGATTCTCTTTTCCAGCTCAGGTTTACAATCGCCAGGTATTGATTGATAAACGCGATTCTGCTTCTTTATTCATGTTTTAGCTGCCACTCTTTTGTACGTTTTCAAATGTGATTACTTCATCGGTATGGTGTTCTTGTACTAATTTCATGTCTTTTATTGGTCTTCTTTTACAGAATAGAAATGCTGGGTTTTTGTTGTCATGTTACGATGCGGAGATTAGTTACAATTCTCGCACAAACAAGTTCTATGCCAGGTATGAAGCAAACAATAATTTTCTCCTTCCTGGTAATTGTCATGAAAGGGAAATGATTTAGTTTTCTTGCTCTGTTAAAGCTTTAGGATAAGAGGGAGAGGATAATTTATTTGGTGGCTTTTGTTTCTTATTTAATAGGTATCCACCTCATGGTAAAATAGTTCCAGCAATAGAGGAAGTGACATGGGACAGAGTAAGAGCTCCTATTGGTACTTCGGCTCATGATCTTCACATTTCAGACTGCTTAACTGAACTGAATCCTGGTGATCATATTGAGGTTCAGTGGAGAAGGAGCAAAGAGTTCCCATATGGTAATTGCACCAAGCATTTGTCACTATTTATAAATTGTTTTGCACAGCTGACTGCCTTTAGTGTGTAGAGATGAGCAGCGCTCAAAATGTATCTTTTGCAATTAATTTTGGTTTTTTTTTGGCAGGTTGGTGGTATGGAGTTGTTGGTCATTTGGAGGTTTGTGACAGAAGTGAAAATCGCTGCGGTTGTTATGATAACGGTACATGTTTTATCACTTTTACTTATATTTACTTTTCTTCATCAAAGCCTAAAGAATTTAAGAGGAAATACAACTTTCAATCCAGATATACAGGACTAGTTGCTATTTCATTAATTCATAAATTAAAAACTGTAACTCTTAAGAGTTTTTGCTTAAGGGAAAGCATTACCCGAAGCCTATGCTGAGTGATTGAAGCTCATTCTTTCCACTGTTTTCTTTACCGCAAACTCTTTGACAATCCTTCATCAGTGTCTTCTTGTAGTTAAACTCTAGGAAGTATCAATATGACAATTTCAAAGCCACAATGCCTTTTTCGCTGTTATCAATATTGGAAGTTTTCATTGCATACCACTTTATTCGTTTGTATTTACATATAGAACTCCTAAACTTTAACTTTTACATACTTCACCTTGTCTACGCATGAAAACTATATATTTCATTTCGTAGATGCTAAATTAGTGATTTTTATGTATAAATGTAAAATGTAAAGTTAATTTGTTATATATATATAAATATGTAATAATTTGGCAATCTCTGCATGTAAATGCCCCCTTTTTTCTGCTTGGCAGTTTTGTACAAGTTTGCTGACTATTAGATTCCATATTTTCGAAGTACAACATATGGCTATGAATCTCACTTCCGAGTCTTTTCAATGCAGACAACATTGTGCTAGAGTTCAACCATTACGCTCCTGGATCGAGATGGAGGAAGAAAATCATTAACCGAAATGAACATAGAGAAGATGGAAGCGAAGATGGTTTTTATGGAGGAATTAGGAAGGTTCAAAAGAAGGAAGATATCTCTGTGTGAAAGCAGTTCTGACCACCTGAAGTTCAGGACTAACTTCTACTCCCTTCTTCTCTCTTACACTTTTGACTCACTACAAGGTGGTAATCCTTGGACTAGTAAAATGGCATATCCACAGCAAGCGGGAGTTTGTTGATTTATGGTTGTTTCAGGTAGATTTCTATAATTTGAATGGATGACCGTGAAATCATAGTTGATGTAACTTAAATTTATTTGGGGTGGCTACAATTTTTTGGTAAATGTGATAGTAATTTTGTCATGAAAAAAAAACTATTTTTTCATCACAGATGTTTAGAAAGCAGTAAAAAAGCAGTGGTCATGCAAAGGTATGATACTAGCTTAAAAGAAAAGCAGTGAAAAAATTGCTTAAATTTTGGTTATTTATTTCAACTTTAATAAAAGTTGATTTAATTGGAGAAAAGTGTGATCTCTTCTCAAATTAATAAAATTATTGATATACTTGGTATTCCTACTAAATCTCTTCCAATAAATACCTTGGAGTGCCCAAATATAAAGGGAAGAGCCAATACATTATTTGATGATATTATTATGGAAGTGTGTAACATATTGGATAGTTGGGGCTTTCTATTGCCTTCCATGGGTGGTCGATTCACATTTATCAAAAGTGTTTTATGTTTTCTCCCTATGTATATTTTGAAATCAATTAATTTTAACTTAGCAATGTGTTTTAATTTGGAGCTAATCATTAATAAATTTTTCTAGGGTTATGATAACACTAAGACTTTTTTCTTATGGTCCTCTTGGAATAAAATGTGTTTGTCTATGGATGAAGGAGGGCTTTGGTGTAAGTCTTTTTTTTATTTCGCTCAATGTTTCTTCATTAAACTTTGGTGGTCATTTCGTTTGGATTCTAGTTTGTGGGCCAAGTTCTTAACCTGAAAATATTTCCTTGATATTCCTCCTCATTAGCCATGTTTAAAAGTGGTGACTCCTTGGTTTGGAAAAGACTTTCTAAAGTGAACTGGGTGGCAGAGGCTTTCATTAAGGGGGGTTTCAAAAAAGGTTACACCTTTTTTTGGCAAGGAAATTGGCTTGGTTGAGGTTCATTAGACACCTTGCTTAATTCTCATCCTACATTTTCTGGAAATGTTCATAAAATCCTTAGAGATGGGTTGTGGAATGTCCAATTATTTCAAGTGTTCATTCCTCAATGTTTAGTTGATTTGGTCTCCGAATTAAAAATATTTAAGGACTTGGATGAAAAAATGTTATTTTCTGCTTCTGTTAATTGTCACTTTTTCTGCAAAGATGTATGGAATTTGTCTCGTATCAACGACGTGAAAAATAAGAATTTTAGGCCTTTTTGCGGTAAGGCTATTTCTTCATTTATCTTCATTTTATCTTGGAAGATTTTGCATATTTTCTTACCTCTGAATTTTAACCTTTAACATCGTGTTATATAATTAGCCTATAACTGTCAATGCTGTTCTAACTTGATGGACGTTCAACACCTTTTTGTTAGGAGCAGTATTGCGGTTTTCATTTGGCATTGGATGTATTTAGTATTCCAAAAAAAATGCTTTCAACCAATTTATCTCTAAGTTGGCTTATAAGAAATTCGTTAGCTCTTATTCCATCATCTTTTAAAAACCCTATGACTGGTGTTGTTTTATCTCTTACTGTGTGGTTTATTTGGAATGCTAGGAATCATTCCATGCAACGGAACATTAATATGGACCAATTTTTTTTCATCTTTAATGTTTCTCATAAAATTAATTTCTTGATGAAGGCCAACTTAACTAATCCTAATAGTTTTAAAGGCTTTCATTAAGCTTGGTCTACTTTTGTTCTTCATGATTTTGAAGCTTCTGACCCTTTCTTCATTAAGGTGAATTGATTTTGTCCTCGGATTGAATGGGTGAAATCAAATATAGATATTTTGGTATCTAAGATGACTCAGGGCTTTGGTGGTATTTTGAGGGATCATGAGGGTAACTTCTTTATTGCCTTTGAGGATCATCTTAAAAATTCCTCTGTAATCCATACATAATTTTTAGCTCTAAAAGAGATTTTGATCTTGGTTATTTCTCTTATTTACTGTAATGTGTTTAGAGTTAGATACTAAACAGACAGTGCAAATTTGTTCAAAATTTGATAAGAATGATATTACCATTTGTCCTATTTTCTATCTATTGCACATGATTCAACATTTATTGAATTCTATTAATTAAAGAATGTCACATATTTTTAGGTAAGGTAACTCTTGAGTTGATTTATTGGCAAATTTTGGGTCCCGCCTTTAGAATTTCCAAATATCTTCTTATTATGAACTCAATAGACATCTTAATGGAATGCTTAAAATTATTTATTATTTTTATTCTTGTCACCTTCTAATGGTTTGGATTCTTATTTCTTGCATGATAACATCCCTATCTTGCTATTACAACCTTTAGTTCATTTCTTTTCTCCTTTTTTTCCTTTTGAGGGATGTGCTTGTTTGTCATTTGTCTGTATTGGTGCACTTCCTTGTCCTTCCTCTATTGTTGGCATTATTACCAGTGCTGGGTTGGACTTTCTCAGATAGTGTGGTTATTTTTTCATTTTCATTGTCCTTCGCTGCTTCTGGCTATGTATTTATATATTTGCAGTTTGCTTCTTTTTAGTCAATGTATCGTGGGCTCCGTAGGCTTCTTTGCAGGTTTACCCATTCAGTGTTGGTTTCTATGAGTATTGCTCATTAAAATTTTGTTTTTTGGTCTCTTTATACATTTAGTTGGCCATCATTTGGTATTTTTGGAACATATTTTGATCCCTTTTTGTTGAAAAATACTATCCTGGTATATCTAATGGTATGCTCTTTTTGGTTTATCCTTGTTAGCAACCATTGCTCCTTCAGATTTGTTTAAGGTTTGGACTTAATTTAGTTTTTTTCCTATTTTATTGCTTTATTCTCTTTTATGTCTTTACTATCTGTTCTCTTAATTTGTTATCTTAGTTTCTTCTGATTATCTTCTTTGCTTTCATGTGTGGTTTGTTTCTACTTGTTATTAGCTTCTTGTAGGTTCTTACATTGATCATTTTTTGGCATTTTGGTGGATCTTTGTTGATCTCTTTTTCGGTGTTATGTTCTTTTCTATATGTATTTATTTTGGAGTTCATTTGAGTGGTTTGTATCTTTGGATGGAAGATTTCCTAGGTTTTCTTTAATGTGCGCTATACTTTACCTATAATGGGCATCCTCCTACTAATCCTTGTACTATTTGTTTTTTATCAATAACATTCCCTCCGAGGTTTATAAGAAAAAATCAAAATCCTAAAACACTAAATCAGATGATTCACATTGATTACTCTAATCATACAATTTTTTTTTCAATATTTAAGTTCCTCAACTTCTTGGAAATAGATAAACTTTGAATTGTTGGATTCGTCACATCGAATAATTTGATTTCATTATTATAATGCTAAATTTTGAATCATTTAGCATTCCAATTGATTGACCAAAATTTCAACATACTTCAAGTGTATTTAATTTTATTTGAACTCATGTTGAATCACTTTCGAGATATCATTGAGTTTTTCTTAACGAGATGCTCAGTTTTAATATAAAATTGTTCAAATTAGGGCTCAAATGATGTTGAATTTGATTTTAGAATGATTCCAGCTCAAAATGCATCATGATTTTTTTTAATGACAATTTAATCAAGATTCTTCAATAACAAATCTGTTATTATGACATTTGAGATTTGAGATGTTGCGAGTAAAAATAAAGGTAATGTTGACATCATTTTTGGATGTCACAACTGTAGGGTGTCAACTCGAGTAATTTATGGTGTTCTACGGTTTATTCACAACATCCGATTGCTCAAGACACCCACCCGGAACTCTCTAGCACTTACTCAGAGCAAGAAGCTAGGGTTGGAGGTGATTTTTCCTTACCAAGGGACCTGTCGTCAGGAAGGTTCATTATGAATGTGAGATGTCCTTAGTGCTTAAGTTAATAATTAGAAGTCCCCACACGTCCTTCTATAGCCTCTCATGGCCAAGGGAAGTCATGGAATTCTCATATGCACACTACAGGAAAATTAGGGTTTGGGACACTGACCCAACCCTTAATTATGCAGATATTTGTGCTTCTTAATATTCGAAAAACTTGACCCAAGTTATTTTTAACGTCTAGTGAGAACAAATGAAGTATGACTAAAAAAATAATTTTCTCATTAGGGGTACTACACAAGTATATGTATCGTTTCAAATAATATAGAGTTTTCTTTAAAAATCTCAGTATCAATCCCACGAGGAAGCCGAAAACAAGTAAACAATAAAATGAAATACATGAATTTTGACTTTAAGAAAACTTTACTTAAGATTGTAGCATCTATCAAAAGATGAAAATTAAGTTTAATAATCTACAATATGCAAATAAAATATGCAAATAAAAGTAAATGTAATGACGTAAACAATATATATAAAGAGACTTTCTCCTTGCTAATAATTCATAATTAGTGTAAGATTTCTAAATTTGTTTATAAGCTTAAATGTGGTATTATGATAAATAGGAGCATACCTATTTCTTTACTTTTTTTTGAATTGTGCAAAGAACATTGGCTAACCTCGTGTTGGTGTCGGCAAGTATAGTAGTGATGGGTAGGTTCGGTTGCTCACTCCTAGATTATAAAAAATCCTACTAGTGACCTTTAGTTCCAATCTCTAGACCAAATTGATAAAAGAATCTAGTCTGTCACTCTACAAACATCAATTCTATGCTCAACAAAGCTTCTCTCCCTATTTATTTGCACCCCCCTTTAGACGGTCGCGACTGCTCTTTCCGAGGTAAAATGTGATACTTACAAGTTAAGAAATTTTAGTCTTTCGGGACTATAAGTTTCTCAACTAGTTTTAACAAGACAAGTGGTTGATTTATAAAATAAATGAAGGGCCGATAAAAATATCATCATGATTTTTAGGAATAAAAGAAGTTCTAAACAAACTCAAAATCACTTACTTAATTACTTCATATTGCAAGGAGAAATAAAAGAAAACTACTAACGAAGCATAGGGATAACAAATTAAAATATATTTATAAAACTCAAATCTAAAGTACAAAACTTAAGGACAAAGAAACAAATACTTAACTATAATGTTCCCCCAAGCACTTCTTTGAGGTTCTCTGACTTCTCTGACTCCAACTGCACTTATAAGGCTTACAAACTCAACAAATAACAAAGACTCACAAAGAAAACTTCTTACACTCTTAACACACTCACACACTATGAGACTATCTAATTCTGATCCCCTAGCCCTTTGGAATTAATCCATATTTATAATGCTTCAAAAATGACCAAGGGTTGCTTGAGACATCTCTTCAAAATTTGATCTCATTCAATAAATCTTCTATAAAGTAATCGTGGTGCCTAGGAGCCCAACTGTCACACTTAGGTGCCAACCAATTTGTTTATCTGGCGCCTAGGCGTCAGTTTGGCTGGTTTGGCACTTTTCTTTAATTTAGCCCATTTTGCTCCTTTTTGATGTATTTTTCCTCTTTCTTACTCTTAAATTTTTTTGTTGCACCTGCAACCAAAAATATAAAAATACCCTTCATTAAGGCATAATGTCCTAAAAAATTAAG